CCCTCCGGAATCCCGACGGGCTGTCCCGCATCGGCGACGGCTTGCTTCTTCTTCGAGGCCCCCCTCGTCTTCTTCTTCTTCTTCCCGGGAGCCACATTGAGAGGCTCCGGATCCAGGGGCCTAGAACCCCCCGCTCCGGCGTCGTTACGAGGGGGAGGAACAGCGATGGTCACTTTCATCCTCTCCTTCTCTTCTTCCTCCTCGGCAATTTGGACCGCGAGGGCCATCTCCTCGTCCTCAATCACTTGCTCAAACTCCTCGGCCTCGGCCTCGGTTATGAGACGTTTTTGGACTTCGGCAGCCACTTGCGAGTCGTCAATATTCGAAGGCTGCTCGCTTGAGGACTCCACCTCAGAAATGCTTTCAGATTGCACCGGGGCCTCCCTCGAGATGTTCTGAGAGTCGGTTTGCGAAGACATTTTTTGTGCTAAGGGAAAGGTGTCTAGAAGAGGAAAGCTACTTAATACTCTCGCCGAAGGCTACTGAAAACGCTAACGCTAAATCTAAAGCCGAAAAGCAAAGTATACAGAGAAACTCAAGAACAGAGCAAGAACTGACCTCGGGAAGTTAGCTTTGATCGAAAAAAGGTCTCTCTCTCACTAGAAATTTTGGCAGAGCTTCGCTAGAGAGAAGGAATGCGTAAAGGAAATGAGCTCCGCCCAGGGGTATTTATAGACTCTGGGCCTCGATAGGTGGGCCTCGATTGGAAAAACCCATCATTACAAACCTTCGCCTCAACCAATGGGTGGCACCCGCCCACCTTCGACCAACGGAGGCATGCCACGTCAGCTCTTCTTCCAACGGCTATATTACAACGACTATATTTTGGTTACACTAGGGGTGCCCCCGAGTGGTAGCCTCCGGCTATCGCTCACCACACCCTTCTGCCAGCAAATTTCATCAAACGCCTTCGAGCTTGCGGCAGCATAAGCCCCCGACTTGTCAGAACTATCACCCCTCGAGTTCTCATCGACTTATTATAACTCCTTCAGCCCGAACTTGCCTTCGGCCTAAAGGAGTGGGGGACTGGGATACACCCCTCGGGGATCATACACAACAAAAAATTCTTCATGCAACAATTTACAATGGACGCATACGGCCTCCGGGCAAACATCACAACACATACAGACAAGACATCTATGCTTTCCTCAGAAAACCCTCGACGTGTGAGGGACTGAGGGGGAGCCCCCGGCGAACATACGAAGGTTACGAGTACCTTCCCTCAGAAAACCCTCGACATGTGAGGGACTGAGGGAAGCCTTCGGCAATCAACAGAAGACAAGTTCTCAAACAAAGGCACCCAGACAGAGACAGGCGATGAAGCCCCCGGAAGAATCATCACATCTACTCCTTTTCCCTCAAGTACCTTTCGGCAAAAGGAGTGAGGGACTCCTGATGGAGTATATGGCCCAGGAACCCCCGGCCCAAAGACTCCCACTAATCTATCACAAGCCCAACAAGCTCAAGGAGCTCAGGAGGCCCAAGATTCGGCGGCCCAAGCGTCAAGAAGGCCACGGTACACACAGGGATGCCTTCGGCCACCTTGGCCGAAGGCTCCAGAACTCACAGAACCGCCATATTCGACCATGCGTAGCTACTGGGAGAAATTGACAGAAAACAGGAGCCCTCGGCACTATGGAGCCCTCGGCACTATGGAGCCCTCGGCACTATGGAGCCCTCGGCACCAGGGGAATCCCCCGGCTCAACCAAGCCTTCGGCTACACAAGGAGCCCTCGGCTACGCAAGAAGCCTACGGCTGAACTAGCTCAATCATCGAAGATTCCTTTTAGAGACAGCCAACCACCGCATTTAATGCCACGTCGCATCCGCCAACCGCATTCAATGCGGTTGACGTACCACTGCCGGTGCCACTAGGCTGATGTGACCCTTCGGCCGTTGGATTACTGACACGTGTCCTCTCATCGCATTTATTGCTGCTATAAATAGCAGCCCATTTCTCCTTGTAATCGACACAATCTACATCCCAACACACGCTGAGTTCATTTAATAAAATCGACTCTCTCTCCTCCTATTTGCTCTGACTTCTCTCTAGTTATTTCCGCAATAACCCCTCGGATTAGATACCCCCCGGGTAGACTATCCATCAAGTAATAGTAATAGTAATAATAATAACAACAACAACAACAATGCAACATCAATCTAGAAAATCAATAGTGATACCTCTTACATATTAAAAATAATATTTTAAAATCAAAATCAAAATCACACAAATGGGAAAAATCAAGTTTACAAAATTTCCATAAAATAGATACTTCCTCTGTCCCGTTGGAAGGTTCCCATGTATAAATGACCAAATTTTTTAGGCAAGTGGTGAAGTAAAGTAATTTGGGTTAAAAAGAGTGGAAAGAAAAAATTTAGAAAACGTAAATATATAAAGTGAAAGTAATTAAAGAGAGATAAATTAAGGGAGGGGAAATTATGAAACTTGACATATAATGAGTAGGAAAGAGAAATTTGAGTAAAAATGTAATTAAAGAAAATAAATTATTTCTTAAAATGGAATGAGAACTTTTAAACGGGACACCAAAATAAGGAAAGCGGAAACCTTTCAATGTGATGGAGAGATTGAAGTGCTATACTTTATCACGTATTTGCAAAAAATGAAGCGTAATATTAGAAAATTTCACCTAATTTTTTTGAATTGAGACTAATATCAAACATTTCTCAAATTTTATAAAGCAAAACGATTAATATACTTATATAGTAATTGAAAAAATGTACGAAAAATAGTGAATTTTGTATTAAAAACCGACGATAGATGATAAAGTAATTGAACACTTATGAGAGTGACACCACCGGGGCATGACCCGGGTGTTACACTAGTATTCATTAAATTCGAGTACAAGCATACCTACAGACCAATAACAATATCTGTAATAACAATATCTGTAAAAGTAAGCTCTCGCTAATTAAATTATACACCGTGTGTAATTATATATTTTCGTCTAATGCAACTTAAAAGGCTGAACTTCAGCACTATGAGTATATAGAAAAGTTTAATTGAACAGGAGTGTATTTTGAGTATAACCATGCTTTTTATACACGCTCATTTATATACGTAGTATCAAAGTTCAATCGAATAGAAATGTAATCTGAGTACAACCACGCTTTGTATACACGTCCATTTGTATGTGCCTCCATACATGGTGAGTAGACAAACTTTTTGTTTGTGAGTAGATTATTTAGAGACTATTTTTGTTTTTGAATATATTATTTGCAAACAAAATATGTTTTTGTTTGTGATAGCCTATTCATACACAATCTTTTACATGTTCACTGACACATAGGAGACATGTACAAATAGGCCTATACAACAATTTTTCTTTTGATAGTCCCTAATTGTCACTGGGAATGTTTCAATTACATTTTCTGGGGTCTTTCAAGGATCTTAATTGCAAGCCTTTTCCTATAGGGTGGGGGATTTTGCTCCACCCTACAAACAGATTTTTCCGGATTTAGCTACATTTCCGAGTTTATATACAACCAGACCAGTTCCAGCACGGGTCGCCGGTTTCCAGGTTGACCCGCCCGGTCCGGTCCGGTTCTGTTAACATAGATGTAAATATAACATTTTTGTGCAATATTTCTTTCAGTCTAAGATGTTCAATACTGCATGAATGTATGAATGGCACAGTTCCATGTAGGCCTGGACTTAGTGCTGGACTCGGGTCGGGCGGCCCGAACCGGAACCGGCCCGGCCCGGTTACTGTGTGAACCGGCCCGGCCCGGTGGCCCGGTCCACCGGCGGTTCGGGTCGAACCGGCCCGATGGATACCGGTTCCGGGCCCTCCATTTGGTGAACCGGCCCGGCCGGTTCGGGCCCGGTCCGGGCCGGAATAAATTTTTTTTTTACTCCCTCCGTCCCGTTGGAATGTTCCCGGTTTGACCTACACACATATTAAGGAAATAAACTTACCAGGGGGTAAATTTTACTGTTTGGACACTGTTTGACACTATTTGACACTGTTTTGCACTGTTTTGATGTAGGATAACTTTCCAATTAGGGAAATGAGAACTTTCCATTGGGACATCCAAAAAAGGAAAGTGGGAACATTCCAACGGGACAGAGGTAGTATGTTTTTTTTGAAATTTTTTTAATTTTTGGGTTGAATTAGGTATTTTGGGCCATTTGAGGTGGTTTGGGGTGGTTTGGGGTTGAGGGGGAGGGGTAGGGGGTTAAATAAGAGAAGCCAAAAAATCAAAAAAAAAAATGAGGCGGGTGAACCGGCCCGGTCTGGCCCGGAACCGGCCCAGAACCGGTCACACTCACCGCCGGTTCGGGCCCGGGCCCTCCTTTTGGTGAACCAAGGCCCGGCCGGTTCAAGGCCCGAACCGGGCCCGGCCCGAACCGAGTCCAGCCCTACCTGGACTCGGACCGGGTGGCCCGACCCGGAACCGGCCCGCACCGGTCACTGACCAGGCCGGGCAGGAACAGTGCCGGTTCAGGTAGGACCGACTGCTGGGGTTCCGGTCCGGGCTCAAGCCCCTCACAACGTTAACCGGTCTGGCCGGTCCGGGCCCGGTCCGGGCCATTTTATTATTTTTTTCTTTTTTTTTTTAATATTTTTAAGTTTTTGGGTTGGGATGGGTATTGTGGGTCATTTGAGATGGTTTGGGATGGTTTGGGGGTGAGGGGGGGGTTAGGGGTTAATTAGGAAAAGGCAAAAAAAATTGAACCGAGGGCTGGCCCGGCCCGACCCGGGGGTTACCCGGGCCGATTCCGGGCCTCCCCTTTCCTGAACCGAGGCCCGGCCGGGCCCGGGCCCGAACCGGCCTGAGTCCAGGCCTAGTTCCATGTTCGCAACTTCGCATATCACTTCATACTTATAATAAATAAAAGTAATATATCTAAAATTAACAATAATACTCTAATATGGAACTAAAAGAGACACAAGAAACTACATAAAGCAAAACCAACAGTAACAATTCCTAATGAGATTTTATCTAGAAACTAATTGTTTAAAACAACAAATTTTTAAGGCAAACTATATGAGCACTTAAATTAAATTTCAAATGAATGGAAAAATAAAAATAAAATATAGCAACAAAAACTTGTAACAATTGCAAAATTGAAAGCATATTCAGCACAAATATTACAAAGAAAGTATATGTGATGTAAGTTTAAATGTTTGAAAAATCAAACCAAGACCTATATTCAACAATCTGGAACTGGTAACCAAAACATGTCCAGACAAATCTATACAGAAAATCTATCACCAAGGTTGACCTTTCCCTGTCAAGCGCCTGGCAAGTTGAAAGTCAGTCTTCCCTGAGCAATAAAGACAAGAAAAGGAGTGTGTTAAAGCAGTCATCTCATGGTGCTTTACAACTACAATGGCTGAAATTGATACCAAACACTTTTCTATATCTACATCCAGTATGGAGAAACAAAGCCCATATTGCCATGGAAATGAAAATCTTACTAAGTGTGACGCGCTTAGCGTGAATAGCACACAGCTGCGCATGTCCTAAGAGTTCCACCAAATACAACTCAGCCGCCTGCAAAATCAAAGCCCAGCAAACAAATAAGGCACTTGATGAAGTATAGAAGGATTACTGAGAGGTGGGAAAAGAGCCAAAGTAGCTTGGGGTGACATTTGCAAACCCAAAAATGAAGGGGGCTTAAGGCTGACAGAACCTAGTGCCTGGGACGCAGCTTTACTTTCCTAAACATTATGAAATATACATGCCAAAAGGGACTCCCTGTGGATCAAACAGTTCCATGGGGTCTACTTGAAAAATGTTACCATTTTCCCAATGGGAGGGCTTCTTCTCTGCTCAAACAACTGGACAGATTCAAGGATTCACTTCTAGACCACTTTGGTAGTCAGGAAGCTTTGATAGCAAGGCTGTGATTTTTATCTGGAAGAGTTACACCCCCACCCCTAGGCTCTCCTTTACTTTATGGCTGTGCATCAGGAATGAATCAAATACTGCAGGAAATTTTTTGTTTTCGATGGAGATCGATTCTTCAGCTTATGTTACAGGCCACCTGGAAACTGTTTAGAATTCGTCTTTCAGGTGTCAGGCAAGTGAGTACAATTTGGAAGGAGATATGCAAGTGGAAGGATAAAGGAAGTCTGCTCTCAACAGTGTAATGAAATGTTTTAAGAAGTATTTCAGAGGAACAAGTCTAGGGAGTCAAACAGTGAGACTAACATTGAGCTGCACTGTCTATACTATCTGGAAAACAAGGAATTCTGAACTTTTTGGAGCTGCAATGTCTATTACACAAATGAAGGTGATTGTGTATACAATTTTAGATAGGTTATACCCCCGTCCCCCGGAGATGACTAGTTGATTACTAACATTTTTACCCTTGTATATACTGGTATGGCTTAAAAACAACTGATAGTGGGGGGTGACATCTGGCTGCATCAGTGTGTGGGCTAGTTGGTTAGTTTGTTTAGATATTTGTGTTGTGGTTGAGCCATGTACATTACTGAGAGAGGCAGTAGAGTGCTAAACTTTTACTATACTCGGACATACCCCTGTGATCGTGTTAACTTCCTACACACACACACACACTTACACACACACACACACACATATATAAATATATATACATATATATAGTTTTATAAGTTATTAAAAAAAATGGAATACAGAAAGAATTAAGTTTCACTTCACATCTGTTGAATGTAGAGGATCCAGTTGTTTGATGCACATAAAAGGTAATCACAAATAATAACAAAAACACATGTACACAGTACCGTCATACCTCCTGAAGTGCATGAAGAGCATCTGCTTGCCAGCGTTTCACATCCGGTGAATAAAAGATGCTTAACTCCTTAGTCTGCCACAATTAAGAAGAAATGGAACTCCATTTTAAGGAAATGAAAAATACCATAGTGAGAAAAACAGTCAAAAATCAGTACAAAAGTCATAGAGCATTGCCTTTTGTTGATTCATAGTGTCATGCAAATACTCAAGAACTCCAAATTTAGCATTCTCAGTGTTGTAAATCTTGCTATTGTATCACATATGCACAGATGCAGTTTTTTCATAGGCTAACATACTAAAATACAAAATGAATAATTCATTTGACGTAGTTTACACAGAATTTGAGCTTTCAAATTAAATATACGACGGCACACAACCAGCTCAGGTTCTAATTTAGAAACACAATAGAATCACATTAACAGTATAGTATGCCATAGTTTCATATGATGTTTTGGTCTAACTTAGATTTGAAGTAAATGAATGATTGTGGATGTGAGCCATTTAGTAAGATGAACAGCCCACATAATTTCACTCAAAATTTGATTTGATCTATGAGAACGAGTCATGAATTAATTTACAAAACATACTAAGATAATGCATGAGCCATTAACTAATTAATTAATTAACCATTTAATGGCCACTGAGAAGTATATCTACATCTGATGTCCTTACATTCTTAAGACTTGGTTCATATCTAGAGGAGTTATCCAATGACCCATTCTGGTAGATTTGAAGTAAATGAATGATTGTGGATGTGAGCCATTTAGTAAGATGAACAGCCCACATAATTTCACTCAAAATTTGATTTGATCTATGAGAACGAGTCATGAATTAATTTACAAAACATACTAAGATAATGCATGAGCCATTAACTAATTAATTAATTAACCATTTAATGGCCACTGAGAAGTATATCTACATCTGATGTCCTTACATTCTTAAGACTTGGTTCATATCTAGAGGAGTTATCCAACGACCCATTCTGGTAGATTGTCTGTCTCTTTAACTCCTAAAGGTAAGCACATCAAGATAAAATGAACTCTCCCCATCCCACCCACCCAAAATTTAACATGGGGATCATGAAGATGTAAAGGGACATCACTCTAATCTATCACTTTATTTAATAGAAAGACAGCAAATTCAATAAAGTTTGGACTCCCACTCATGTTCTTCTCAGGAGAAAGTCAGTACATGTTTTGGCATGCTAAGTCACTTTGAGATTTCCATAGTTATCCAGTTTGGAAATCATCTTATTCACAAGGTTAAAGAGTATACTAATCAAACGATATAGTACTTTATGAGTAAAGCTTTAGGGAAAGAGCAGAACTGATAGAACGTACAAGCCTGACAAATGGGGCTTTAGGAATAAGAAGATTGCATGATTTCTGGGCCTTCCGGATCTCCCGGAGAGCAACAGTTCCGGGCTTAAAGCGATGAGGCTGCCGTGCTGAAGGAGCAGAACCAGATTTGGAATCTAGTAAACGAAACACGCGAAACTGTCAAATACTCCGTATTTAATTTCACCGCCCAAAAAGAAAATATGAAACTGATGATAAAATCAAAGCTACTCAACAATTTCTATATGGCCTTACTTTTCGTCCGCTTACCCTTCTTCGGCGGCACCTATATCCACGAAACGAGAACAGAACATTACAATGCAGATCTAAGCATACAAAAGACACAAATATAAACCATAGGAAAATCATATCAGACGTACTAGCATCGTCAAATCAGATGATCCGGCACCTGAAAACGAAGAAGATAGTAAATTAGGGTCCCCAAGATCAACAAAATTCTTTTCTGAAGCAATAAAACACAACAAGTTTTATCTATACAGACCTTGCTTCTTGGTAGCAATTTTCTTCACCCTTACCATGGTATTCAGAATTTCTTTCCTGAAGCAATAAATTAGGGTATAAAATACACTACAAAATAGGGAACTAATGAAAAATAGCACGTCGTACTATTCTAAAGGTGCCATACAAGACTTGATGTTCCTCATTATTCTAAAGGTGTGTGAACCTAAAATTTCCATGAACAGGTAATGAGCTTTTTTTTAACGAAGGTAATGAGCTCATATTTTCCATGTCTTCACTGATGTGTTCAACAAAGGGCTGAGGCCAACATTCATTAAAATCGACAGGAATGATGGATATATATGCATCACGGGGTAATCAATAACATCAAACTAATTGGTAAGTCTTGATTTCTATGACCAGATTTTATTACAGTTATTTTTTTATTTTTTTATATTGCAGGATTGATAGTGAAACAAATAGGCTAAGAGACCTATGCAGCACAATCAACATTCAAGAGTAAGGTGTAAAGGAGAAGCTCAAATACAAAATAGGTAGATGAGATTCCTTTTGGAAGATCATATTGTTTAGAAGTACAATATCAGTATGTAAAAGACACTTTTTTATATTTAACCTTTCCTATGTTATCAAACTATATTAGTTAATAAACTAGGTGCAAGTTATAGTGTGTCAACATCAACAGTATGCTTTAATGAAATAATTAGAAGATTAAAAGATTAAGGTCATACCTGAGGTTTAAGGTGAGCAAAATTGAACCCTGCGCTCCCTATTCATGAACTGTAAAAGGTTTAAATGAAGTATTGTTTTTCACAAACACTACCTGAAAGCAGTTCAATTATGTAATGAGCATGGTCATCTGTAATGATATGATGTATTCTAAATGGAGTCCTTTTATTTAAGTCACAATGAATGGGCATAAACAAAGTATCCTATGGGTTACATGTTATAAATGCTTTTATACAGTATATAGGTAAATATAAACATCTTGACAATGAAAATGATCAGTCAAATGAAGTGTGCAGATGTGTCCATGCCTATAACATCATAAACTTTTATAGTAATTATTAATAGGGCTTATGTAGGGTAGCAGACTCTTCTGGCTGGCGGGCTGGCAGAAATAAGAACAACATGTTTCCTATAATTTAAGTAAAAAAAAATACAAACTTTAGGACATATTATGTTAACAACCAATTCATATTTTTTATAATTAAATGTGTTATTATCATTAAGCACAATGAACTACAAAGTTTCACATATTTTTAGGGAATCTGAAGTTGTTGGAAGATAAGAGAGCTGCAATCTACATTCCAACTTCAGTGAGAAGTAAGGATTCTGCGAGTTCAATTCGAGAGCCCTAATTTCTAAACTCTGAAGAATAAGCGAGTCTTACTCTAATTCGGAAGAGTAGAAAGCGTAGCTATATTTACACAAATTCAGTGCGAAATCTGGTGTTCAAGGACGATGCTGGTTGAAGAAGACGCTATTGTAATACGCGGAAGAAGACGCTGGTTGAACAGTAGATGGCTGCCCTAATTTCCAAACGCCAAAGAAGACGCTAGTGTGATACTCCGTAATACGGAAGAAGAGGAAGTGTATCTGCATTTACTCAAATGTCCTCAGTCACGAGCGGGAAAATGACTTGTTGGATAAATAGAGATTCTTCCTATTTAAAAGTTTCATACACTTTCCTTTTTAGAATATATTTAAAAGTTCTCTACACTTTCATTTTTGATAAGTTTATCATTTACAAAATACTCAACTATCCTATTTTATCTACTTTTTATCTTCTTTTTTATACTTTTACACACTCTCTCCTACTTTTTCAACACTATTCATTATCCTTACTATTATAGCCTAAATTATTGTGCCAAAAGCAAATGTAGGGAACCTATAAATGCGGAGGAAGTACATTTTTATACTCCGTGTGTGTGTATACATATATATATATATATATATATATATATATATATATATATATATGGATGATCATGTCCAGCCGGAAGGACATGATCCTCCGTCCGGCCGCCATCATTTGGGGTGGTTCCCGATGTAATTTTTGATGAATTTTTTTGTAAATGTTCCTCATCAAGTCTAGTTTATTCACACACAAAATCAGCTAAAAGTTCTATCAGGAAAGCAGTCAAATAATTTTTGAAAGATAATTGTGCCAAATTAAACATATAAAACGCAGTTATTTTCAAAAATTTATCTGACTGTCTTTTCAATCGAATTGTTAGGTGAAACTTTTTGTGGATAAGCTAGACAATTTCATCAAAAAATTCCACCGGGAACCGCCACAAACGACGGCGGCCTGACGGAGGATCCTGTCCCTCCGGCTGGACATGATCTTTTTCGTGTGTGTGTGTGTATATATATATATATATATTCGTAAATATAGATTTAAAATATAGATATATAGATAATTAGATATATAGATTTATGAATTTATAGATATCTAAAATATTATAATAGTGAATGAAGGTTAGGGTATTTTAGGTATAAAAAATGTGTTGGTGGTAATCCTAAGCTATAGTCTACTTGTACTTTGAGCTGAAATTTTTGTGCCTTAGTTTGTGGTACTTTTTAAATACCTAATCAACCTTACACTCCCGTTTGTTAACTTATGTACAAGCTTTCTATACTAACGTTTCCCGTCAAATGTTTTACTACAACTCAACCGACTCGTGCTTATTTCTTTTCCTTACTCTATTCTCGCTTTAGTTTTTTTTTTGCCTAACAAATATATTACGGAACATGATCACAAGCTGAAATCATATTATTATTGGATTTATGAGTATAGAACTTTGGATGTCATTCCTTTCTTTTTCAAACAAAATATAGAAATAGTAGAATAGTCAACACCAGTTTGTTTATTAATTCATTGTCCATTTAGTAACACTGATATAATCTTAAATTTTGAAATTGAATAAATGCTTGCTAAAGTGGCTAAATTGTTCAAATATATATAAAAAGATTATATTTCACAAAAATTTATTAATAAATTAAAGAAAATATTATATAAAAAATGACTAAAATTATCATCTACAGTAATTTTAACCAATTTATTCAGAAAAGTTATTTAACTTTACTTATTTTGAATATTGCACAGTTCAGTGACGGAAATCAAAAGTTACGTGTTTGGTAAAAATATTGACTGATAAGGCTGATAAGCTGTAAAGCGATTTACCAAATGGGCTCTTAAATAATTTTCAGCAAGATATGTGACTTAATTAGAAAAATCTACCTCATTTGCTACTACCTATCATTGCAGTACAAGAGGAAGTGGTGTGATTACCCAAAGGTGAATTTAAGTGATTGATATTAAATTGATAAAATGAAAATAAAATAAGAATGATTAGAAACCAAACAAACACTACAAATATAATCTTAGTAGGAGGACAAGAAAGAAAAGATAGATGAAACTATCTTAACTGGACAGAGGAAGTATTAAACAATTATAACTAAAACTGTTACGAGTTTATTTTATATTAGTAATGTAAATATTTTGAGCTTGCTTCTTAGTCTCTATTTTGACTTTTCACACTAATCAAACACCCCGGTAACATTTTTATGAAACATGCAGTTTTTTTATTTCAAACGCTAAATTGGCTTTAAAAATTGTAAGATTGATGTTATTTTTCTGCTGAATTTGAAGAAAAAGTCTATTGTAGTTGTTTTTCGTAAAGTATATGCTTTTTTAATTTGGCACATTTAGAAAATTTGATCAGAATTTGATAAAATTTAACAAGATCAGTCGATTCAATCAATTTCATTGTTACCTAAAGGACTTTTCAAGTCTTAAGCTACAAGTTTTGTGAGTAATATGTTTTAGAGGTAAAGCGAGAAGGAAAAAGGGTGAAAAGAAAAGAAAGGAGATGGACTCTTAGCTTCTACAACTATGCAAGAAAAGAGTAAAAAGTTTTGAAATTATAATGTTTTGTCAAAAAAATAACCGCTTCTCATTTGTATGCCCCAATTTTGTTCTTAAGCACGAGTGCTTTTCCGAACCCAACTATCTTGAATGAGTCAATAAAAATACATATTTTGAAAATGATTTCTAATAATATCAAGTATTTCAATAAACAAAAATAATAATATATAGCCACTTAAGACCAAAAAACAATCAATCATTTAAAACATCAAAAACTTATATCAAACGATCAAATAAATGATAGTTGGCAATATGATCACTTATTTAATATTTTGACATTATTTTTTGATGAATTAAATGATTAAATTTTTAGTTAGGAGTTGCTCTAATTAAGTACGCATTATTTGAATTGTACTTCTCATTCGTATCTTGTATATTACCATGTGAAGGTCTTATATTAGATCGAATGTGAGTCAACAATATTTAGATATGCACTGGATAGTTATCAGAGTGCTAATGATACTTTTTCTTATAAAATTATGAAAATAGGTAGGGGCTGTCCTGTATGTGCATTTGCATTTTTTTATTTTATTTTGGGTCCTCTTCATGATGCGGAAATATTAAGTACCCTATTTTTAAGTTGATATAAACGTTGATGTGTTAAATACTAAAAGTAATCATATCAAATCAACATATAACGTACATATTTTTTAGAAAAAGTCGTTGGACATTTTATTCAATTGCGCAACGCGCATGCAGAAAACTAGTATAGATATATAGATTTAAAGATATGTAGATTTATAGATTTATAGATATATAGATTTATAGATATATAGATTTATAGATATATATAGATGTATAGATTTATAGATATAGATATAGATTTCTTCTGCTTTTAGTTCTTGATGCCAGTCCACCACAATCTATCTACCACCTACCATTTCTAGGAAGAATCCTCATAATTGGATCGAGAAGGAAAGTTTTAAAGCTCATTTAAGGTGAGGATCAACATCTAATTGCTTACAACTTGTAGGTTGAGCATGAGATTACCTAAATGCCTAAATCATAATTTTTCATTGATTATGATGATTAAATATTGATGAAATATTGATATATTTGCCAAAGGATGAATTTGGAAATGACTTGAGGTTGTATGAATAATATGAGATTAAATGAATTATAAATGAACTATTTTGTGATTAAATGAGTTATAAATGAACTATTTTGTGAAATAGGCATTTTACTCATGTATGAATTATGTGGATACATAAATGAATATTTATGTATTGAGGTTGAATACTTAAGTTGCTGCTACATAATTGTAAATATGTAGAGAATTACAAAATGAGAATATTTGTATGATAACAATAATCCTAATAGTATTGAAATACTAGTTAGTGATTATTGGAAATTGTTGATAGAATTGATCCTAGGGATTGGATTGTATGCAATGCACTTGAATATACCTCAAGTGTATATAATGACTTAGTATGAAGCTAAGGTTATGTTATGGTCAGTCTTTAAGGATGACCCAAGGTAGTTTATCGATATGTCAATTCTAGGCATAGGTTTGCTTAGGAATTGGACTTTCGTGCAAGGTGAGGAAATTGACCCAAGTGACATGAATTGTATGGTGATGTGATAGAGCGGAGCTCTAGAATACAATGTCATGTATTGGGTTGGAGCTCTAAGGAGTGCATGGTGATGTGATGGAGCCGTGCTCTAGAATGCAAGGTAAGGAAATTGACCCGAGTGACATGAATTGTATGGTGATGTGATAGAGCGGAGCTCTAGAGTACAATGTCATGTTTTAGGGTTGGACTCTATGAGTTGTTGTGGCTTATAGTCACGGGGAATGGGAATGGTGATTTCTAAATGAACATGGGCCCACGGGCCGACTACTTGACTTTTATATAAGTAAGTATATTTTCAAACGGGGTAACCTAGGGTTACAATCATAGTGTACTATCACCCTATTTGAGGGTCTTGTGTTTGAAATACTTGTTGTATATCTATTAGATGCCTGCCACACTAGTACTTTATAGCCGTATAGAGTACTGACCACTTCGGGGGCGTCCCACCACCATTTCAGGTTGAGGTTAGAGTTTGCATCCTGTGCTCGCTGGTTGAGTGATTCCTCGGAGAGAAGACTTGGTTCGTGCTTCCTCCATTCCATTTGAAACATTAATAAATTGCTCATGGATATTTTACTATAGAGCCTGCGTGCTCATGAATAGCCCTGTGTGGCCCTTTTGTTTTAAACAATGTTTTCCGCTGCGTTATGAATTACTTGTTATGTTTGTTTCTGTATGTTATATGTGTGAATGATATTCATGACGCCTTGTATAATATGAATGTGTTGGACTGCGGTTGACTATTCGTATTGTACGGCGGGTTGTTGACGTGTCCGGGGAGGTCCGGGGCGTGACATAAAAAAATTGCCAATTTTCCTAGCAGCCCCCAAATTCCTAAACTTAATAGGGGCATTATGAACCTATACCCAGAAACTAGCTTCAAATAAATTCATAGATTCAGGAATATCATTAGGTTGAAAAGCTTTGGTCAGAATTAAATCACGTTCAAAAAGCCAAGGACCATCTTCAAGCACACGATTCATATCCAAAACATGATTAAAGTTTAGCAGATACCTTTTTTCTCCAATTTCCGTAATAGTCATACCTCTCCCTGGCCACCAGATCGAAGACATCAGATCCTGAAACCCCGGCAGCTGGA